GCCCGCAGGACATGGCGGAGACCCTGTACACCGTGCCCGGGGTGCTGGCCGAGATCCGCGACAGGCCGACGCGCCGCCGCCTGGCCGCCCTGCCCTGCGAGCTGCGCCTCCGCCGCCCGCGGCCCGACCTCCTGCGCCTCGGTGAGTACCGGAGCCCCGCGGCCCGCACCGGGCTCCTGCGCCTCGGGGAGGCCCGGACCGCCCGGCTCCCTGCGGCCCAGCGAGGACCGGCCCGGCCCGGCGGCTCCCTTCCCTTCTTCCTTTCCCTTTTCTTTACCTTTTCTTTCCCTTCTCTTCTTCCCTTCTTCCTTTCCCTTCCCTTCTTCCCTTCTTCCCTTCCCTGCAGTGACCGACTTCTCCAAGAAGACCGGTGACTACCCCAGCCTCTCAGCCGCCGACCTGCAGGTGCTCGCCCTCACTTGCCAGCTGCAGGCTGAGACCGACGGCCCCAGCTGCCTCCGCTGGGAGCCCCAGGACAAGGTAGGGCCCGTCCCCGGGGATGGGGCGCCGTCCCCGGGGTGCCCCGCCGACCCCCCGTGCTGCCTCCCCAGGTGCGGCTCAGCTCCACCCCGCAGCACCCCGAGGCCCCCCTGCACCTCGCCGGCTTCCATCTGCCCGCCAAGGTAAGGGCCGGGGACGCAGCGCTCCGAGGCGAGGCACTGGGGACGGGGACGCAGCCCCGCGGCACCCCCAGGCAGCGGCGGGTGAGGGACCCCCTATCCTGTGTCCCCGCACAGCACAAGCGCGCGGGGAAAGGCCAGCATCAGCCCAGCCCTGAGAGGAGCACAGTCCCATCCGAGAGCAACGAGTTCGGCTCCTTCCTCTACTGGCGAGCCCCCCTGCCCAGCATCGAGGAGGAGCTGCAGGAGCTGCTGGTGAGGCCCAGAGCCTCCTCTCCCCGCTCTCCTTGCTGCTCCGCTTTCTGACCGGGAGCGTGGCCTGTGCCATAGCCGACTCTTCTCCACCCCAGAAAGCTCAGGCCGTCTCCGTTAGCCCAGAGACCACTGAGGAGCACCAGAACGCTGAGGATGAGGCCAGTGCTGAGGAAGAGGAGGACGAGGAGGAGAGTGATGACGAGGGTTGGATAACACCCAGCAACCTCAAGCAGGTCCAGCAGGACACAGGGCACTGCGACACTGCTCCCATCGGCGTCCAGGTCGGCTGTGTCACCACTGACTTTGCCATGCAGGTGGGTGCTGGCCGCTGCCCCCCACGGGGGGCTGGCGGGGGGCCGAGGGCAGAGCCTCACACTACTCAGACCTCCGGGCTGGTGAAACCAGCACACCAAGACAGAGGAGCGCATTGCCAAGTCCCCCTGCACAGGATGAGAGCAGCTTTGTGACAGCTCCTTTTATCTTAAAAGCAGCCAGCTCTCTCCGTTGCAGAGGCCGCTGCAAAGCCCGTTGGCATCGCTCCCCCCACTGCCTGGGCTGGCAGACCCCCGTTAAAGCTCCTGGCAGTCCCAGCTCACGGCGTCCCGCTTTCTCCCTCCTCGTTGCAGAACGTGCTGCTGCAGATGGGCCTCCACGTGCTGGCGGTGAACGGCAAGCTGATCCGCCAGGCCAGGAGCTACATCCTCCGCTGCCACGGCTGCTTCAAGTGAGCGTGTGCGCGCGGAGCGGCGCTGCCCTCGGCACGGTGCTCGCGGGGGCTGGGTGGGGGATCCTGCTCGGGGGCTGAGCCTGTATCCCACGGCCCGGGGCGCTGTGAACCCCCTCTGTACCTGTCTTGCAGGACCACTTCGGACATGACCAAGGTTTTCTGTCCCCACTGCGGTAACAAGACCCTGAAGAAGGTCGCGGTGAGCGTCAGCGACGACGGGAGCCTCCACATGCATTTCTCCCGCAACCCCAAGGTGCTGAACCCCCGAGGGCTCAGGGTGAGTAGCTGGACGTGACCTGCTGGGACGAGGGCCGGGCCTGCGGCCGGTGGGTTGGAGGGGACCGTTGCCAGCTGGGAGCCAAAGCACAGCTGTGATCATCCTCCCGATGTTCCACTCGACCATGGGGCTTTCGGGCTTCATTTGCTCCGCTCTTCTCTAGAGGCCTGCAGTCATTTTCAAGTCCCTTTGAGCAAGAGTTGTCCCTGAAGCAAGTTTAACGACTGCTTTTCTCCTGGCAGTACCCGCTGCCGGCCCCGAAAGGAGGGAAGCACGCGAACAACCCCCACCTGGTGGAAGACCAGCCCTTCCCGCAGCAGCGGCTGTCCCGCAAGGCCAGGCAGAAGACCAACGTCTTCGACCCCGACTACATCGCCGGGGTCTCGCCCTTTGCGGAAAACGACATCTATAGCCGCGCGGCCAATCTGCAAATCCGGGACGCGGCGCTGGGTGCTGGCAGGAGGCGCCTGAACCCCAACGCCGTGACAAAGAAGTTTGTGAAGAGGAGGTGAAGGGCGGGACGGGCCCCCTGCGGCCGGCGCTGCGAGGGAAGGACTGGGCGATGCCGCGGGAGGGCGAGGCCTCTCCTTCCACTCTTCTCCGGTGCCTGCAGAGCAGCCGGTGACGGGGGGTGACAGTCGCGGGGTTTGGGGAGGCTCTGACCCACGGTGGCTTGCCAGGACCGGGGGGAGCCGGTGTGGCAGCAGCTCCCCTGCTCGGCCCCCAGGACCCCCCCAGGCAGGGGCTGCATTGCCAATAAACACAAAAACCCGCAGTGCCGTGGCTCAGTCTTGTTTCTGTGGCTGTCTGGGCCGGGCTCACGGGCCAGGGTGCGCCTTTCTCCGAGTCTCAAGAGGAAGAGGAGGCTGAGGAGGGCTTCTCGGGGTGTTTTTTGTCCCATAGCACCACAGTGGCACTAACGAGGGGGACAGACGAGTGCCTGCAGCAGGGCAGCACAGGGGGAAAGCTTCGGATGAACCTCCTCCTTGCATCTTCCGCAGTGAAGCGTTCTGCCCAGCTCTCAGGGTAGTTGCAGTGCTGCTTCCTACCCCGTTGTAATTTTTCAAAATTACAGAATTGCTGATCCTGGCTGTTGGCGCCAGGGTCCTGCCGGCGGTTACCTCCCTGCAGCTCAGCAGGGAAGGGGAACACACACCTCGGCAACCCCCAATCGGTTTTAGCACATTGGCGTGAGTACGCCAGGGATGCGGGTAACGCGGGACTGTGCTGGGAGAGGGGGTTAATTCCAGTCATCGCCGCTTAGGGCTTCTGGCATCGCCTCCCTCGGCTCCCTCAGAGACAGAGCCCTGCTTTAGCTGCGCTAGGAAAACCATTTCTTTTGGCAGGCTGGGGTTTGGGTGGCAAAGGCGGTAGCGCAGGTGGTTACTTTGGACTTGAGACCGCAAAATCAGAAAGGAACACTGCGGTGTTTTTCTAAAAGTGCACACACAACACAGCGCCTTTCCCTTACGGACGAGGGCAGCGGGAAACGCCGCAGGCACAAAGCGTCGCGGTCCTGCCTACCCGGGACTGCCCGACCCGAGCACCGTCTGGGTCCCAGGCGGGTTTATTCCATGCTGAAGAACGGCTGCTTTCTCCCAGCAGAGCGAAGATGCCCTCCAAAAAACCACAACAAGACTTTACACTGCAAAATGAAAACTTTCATTGTTTTATTCTTGACTGCAGCTGTTTACAGAAATATAGTTGCGAGTATACAAATGTCCCAATAGAAGCAAAATATTTTTATTTTTTAATATTCAACAAGTTATCACAGGATAGCTAAAAACATAGATGCAAATGAAATATCCCCTCATGGAACAAACTGAAAACACCGGGTATCAGTGCTTTGAAAATCCCAACTACGAAAGCCATATACACAGAATGCACAAAGGAATATCTGGTGCTACTTTCACATCGCGGGACAGCGGAAGAGGCAGCTCAGCGGTCGATGGGTGCGCTCGGGGAACGCATGGCAGAAAGGCGGGCAAACCACTCAAAGATGCAGTGGCAGAGGCAGAAAGCTCTGCTCTGAAGGGGTTTGGAGCTTACTCGTTAATAATGAGCTCAAATCTAAGTATTTCAAATCACCTCATTTCAAATAGTGTCCAGAATAAAAAAAAAAAAAAAGCTTCAGGAATACTCGGGTCTACTACGCAGGATACTGGAACGTGTTCCCAGTTCTGCGACGCCTCTCTCCTTCCAAAGGGAGCTTCCCCCCGCAGCGTTATCCCGCCCTCCGGGACGGCCGCGCTCCGGCCTGGGGACCCACCTGCGCTCGGGCCGGACCTTCGCCGGCTCACGGAGGGGCGGTGCCAGGGACCAAAAAGAAGCGAAGGCCACTTACGTGATCTGAATCCTGGCGCACCACCGGAATATTTTACAGCGGGCTGCTGCTGGGTGCCGGAGTTTTGGAGCCTGAAGCAAGCGCTTGCAGGGGAGCGTCGGAGCGTGTCCCACAGCAAGCAGGGAAATCCTCCGATTCCTTGCCCTTGGCCCCATACACTTGAATGTTAGGAGGCAATTTCGTGAACTGTAACAGCAAAACCTACAGAAGCTCTCCCTCTCCGGGAGCAGCGGAGATCAGACCTACAAACTGATGGCTCAAAGAGACGGCAGAAGGACATTTGCTGTGGCAGAGGAGCTTTGAGAAAGCCTGTACCAGGACAGTAACGTCCATCGACCGACCCAGTGCCACGCTGCAGGGGAACGCACCTGAGGAAGAGTCATGGCGGGCAAAATACACGCTATTGATTTTATGATCTGGATTCCTTTTAATTTCTCACACAATCTGTAAGAAATCAGTACAAGTTGGGGCAGAGCTCCTCACGACCAGAAACCAAGGAGAGCTTCCGCCAGCTTTCAAGGAGAGAGTCTTCTAGATAGTGGCTGCTGCAGTACAAAGTCAGTTAAAAAAAAAAGAATTTAAATACGCCTGCCTTTATCAGAAATGACAGATTCGCCTTCCCAATCCAAACCAACCCAGCTGAGCAGCAGCCAGGATCCTTTGCTAAGGACGATGAACAACCGCCCCCGGGAGAGAGCCGCTGGTGCCGGTCCAGTTCCTCCGGAGCAACAACCACCGCGATTCCCTGTCGGCACGAGCTGCTGGGAGGCCGAGAGGGAAAAGGGGCCCAGGGTGGGCGCCGGGGAGCACGCGGGCGCCGGGGAGCCTGCGCTGCTGCAGCGGCCTCTCCTCAGCCCAGCCAGCGGGCAGGCTCTCAACCGAGGCCGTCGGTTCTACCGTTTTGCTAACACCCCATCTGCGATTATTAATAAAAATATATAAAAATACCAAAGTGTACAGGTGTTTTAAACCCACGGATATCAGTGACGTTGACAAGCGGAGCAAGTTTCTGGAGCAGCGTTACCGAAACCGCCACATGTACAGTACTGAAAGGTGTTCATACAGCTACTAATGAGCTCCTACAAAAAGCTCGGTAAATAACATCATACTAAGGAAAAGGAATATTATTTGGGGTTTATAAAAATGTAAATATAACAGTATTATATGTGTGTGTCTACTAATTATTTATATATAATAGATACGATTCCTCTATATACATATCTAACACCCTAGAATATACAGGCATTGCCTATTTACACACCTATACAGAAGATAAGAAAGGAAAAGCCTCTCCTCCCGCGTGACCCCTCAGAGCCCCAGACGCAACCAGACAATTTTACAAGCGCGCTTTTACAGGGGTTGATCTGCTGCTGCGCTCCTCCTGGTGTCCAAGCGACGTTCATCACGTCTCCAGCAGGGATCCCCGGGCCCCGTTCGCCGCCTGCGGCGGGCAGAGACAGATGGACGCGCCGGTTTGCGGGCTCAGGCGACCACGGTCCTGTGCAACCGGCGTAACTGGTCTGCACACAAAGTGCTCACATCTATCCCAAAAGTCTACTCCAAATTAAGACAAAAGCCCCAAACAAACAATATCTCAGTACCAGTCTCCTTTCAGCTTCTGAAATAGAGGAGCTGCCACCAGGCCCTCTGAACACCTATTCCCGAAAACAAGTTTTGCACTCAGGACAAGTCACCAGTGAACAGTATTTCTTCTCACCTTCCACTCCTAGCTTAGAGCATGCAAAGCAATTCCTCCTCCTTGTTCCTGCTCCGTCACCCCGATCAGTGCCCGAAACCCCTGCACTCCTCTCCCGCAGTTACCCCGACAAAGGCGCCCCCCGTTTGCCACGCAGAGGCGCGAGATTCAGAACCCGACGTTCTTCTCCGACGTCTCACCGACGCGCACGTGCACGCCTGCACGCACACGTGCGCACCCCGGGGGGGAAACTACGTGTAGCTTTTTTAGTCCAATAACAACTTTTTTTGATTTTGCTTTTTAATAAGTCACCTTTCCTGCTACTCAGACAGCGAATTCAGCTACGTTTCAAGACAAATGCAAGCTTCCGACTTGTTTGGTGTCCTTTCTGAGGACTCTGGAAAGATAACGAGAGAGTAGAAACATCTACGCAGACAAGTTTTCTTTTTAGAAACTATATCCTAAACCAAAATCACAACAGAAGCTTCAAAAAAAAGTCCAACTTATCTAAATTAGGGGAATGTCCACTGATACAGCTGCCCAGACTCTTAGTATTTCCAGTAAAAAAACCTGCCAAAGTAACGAACGCTTAACTCTTCATGCTTTATTCTATCTTAAAGCTAAATAGGAAGTAACCACCCTGTCAGTAATTAAAAGTAATTATAATAAAATGGCTGGTGATTAAACATCCACTTCGAAACAGCAAGGCTGAAATTATCTCTTGAACTATTTTTATGTTAAAATAATAGCAAAGCATTTGGCTTGAATAACTGCTGGAAGATCACACAGTGAAGAGGCAATTAGTAACAAAACGGGGACTTGCTAATTAAGCACAAAGCACCAATAACTTCCTACCAGAGGAGATGTTTAGCCAATAACTGTGTATTCTGTGTTATTCCTACGATTTTATATATATATCTACACACACGCAGCGTACAAGCAGGCAAGAGACCGTACGCAAAGGCCTGGCTGGCGGCCAGCAGGTTCGTCCCCCCCGGATTGTACCCTGTGCCGAGAAACCGCCGCTCCGTAAACCACCGGGTACGAGGGTGCTGGGCGGAGAGCGGACCGCGGGTGCTGCCCCAGCTGGGGCGCCCAGCCCACCTTTAACAGGGAGGATCAGATTTAACAATTCCCTAAGAGCGAGCTCAAGCAGCAGAAAAAACAAAGTACAGAAAACCCATCCCAGCAATGCAGCTCTGTAGTTTTTCATTTTTCACCTGCTAATATCTTCTATATTTAATCGCTGCTTTGTGGATATGACAGTAACTTCCCCTTTATTATAAAGTCAGGAACTTTAAATGTATAGAGACTAACGTCTCGGTATCTTCTAACCTCCTCAACCAAAATGGATGAGATGCGATACCACCACCTCAGCTCTGCAGGCAAGCGCTCCGTCTGCTCGTAGCTGAGCAGGCACGCCAGCGTGAGCATGCGGAGGAGTAAACACAGGGATTTAAAAAAAAAAAAAA